TAAATCAGTCACATTACTGAATATGATACAGAATGTTAGAATACAGTGAAGTTTAATATATAAGATAACTATTCAGACTCTTTAATTGTGTCAGATAATTGATTATTGAGTGCAACACTCTGATCAGAAAAAGATTCAGATATTGAAACTTTCTAATATGAAGTGAACTCAGTTAAAATATGTGATTAATTTACTGTTTCAGTTTTATAAGATAATAAAGACAGTCTCAATCACTTGTACATCAATGCTGCAGTCAGTCTGATAAGTGTATAACAGTTTATTTACTTATCTTGAGAAGCAGTTAAATCACTTAAAAAGAAATTCAGTCTGAGATGATACTATAGTGCAGGCTATTGTTACTGTAAGAGATAAACTGGTATATTACTACAGCAAAATGAAACAATCTTTTGCAGAGTACTATGCTGTAGCAGCTCTATTAGATCTCTCTCATTAAGTTAACATCTATACTTCTCAAGATTGAATAGAGGAGAAATAAGACTCATATATTAAATTAACTCAAGACTACTACAATGTCAACTATCAGAGATTTGAATGAGCAGATGTTCAAGATATGAAGATAGTGAAATACAATTCTCTAGTAAGTAATGATCTTTGATAACACTTTATATCATATAGAACTATAATACTAACTTTAAAACAGAACTTGCATACATTGATTGCAACTGAAAATCAGGCAAAACTACATACTTATAAAACTGAATTTGACTGCTATCTTCAAGATGATCTGATGAATTTACACACTAAATCAATTCTAGAGTTATGAAAAATTGTTGAGAGTATATATTCAACTGTTGCACTGATGATGTGTGATATTCTGACAATTTCATTGACAGAGATGAGAATGAAGTGAAAGTTCAACTCAAGTTGAGATATTTATCACTATCACTGAGAACAATTACAAGGAGAAACAATCAAGAAACTCATGATTATAAAACATGAAATTATCAGACAGTTTAATACCTCTGATCACAGTATATCAGAGAAGTGTAGTTTTCATAAGAAAGTGAAGAATAAACTTACACAAGAATGTATTTAGTTGTTTCATGAGTATTATCAATAATCATTATCAAATTCTGATTATATAAGCAATTACTGAATGAACTGAATGAGACTGATTTTAATCTTTAGTCTCAGTCTTATTCTGATTTTGAAAGAATGATCATCTTTCACAGTTTATTCTGGAAAATTACTCTTATTTCACTGTTCTTGAATTAAATCTGATCATTTTTCACACCATTTCTCTCAGAAATGGTTCATTTTCAGATTTTTTTGAGGCTTGGTCCTGGTGAGACTCACGTCAAGAAATGTATAGAACCAGATCAAATGAAATCAAATGTGAAATTCATGGTCTCAGTGGCCAGTCTACTTCTGACTGACAACTGTCAGAGATCATAGAAGAAGATAATAAACTTAAGTGAGAGATTGAAGAAATTCTCAATGAGAGATTATACAGCTATAGCTGATAATATCTTGTAAAATAAGTCAGCTATAATCAATCAATCTGAACTCTGAGTTCTGTATTATCTGAAACAGCAGTTCTTGACTGATGAGAACTGCTTCTGAAAAGAGAGAGCTAATGTGACAGACTGCACCTGATCAATTATATAGACTATTTCATTACACTTCACAGATTTCATATACACTCTGATTCTCAGTCATTCTCAATTGTCAATCTTCGGCTGCCATGAATGTGTACACTCTGATTCTCAGTCATTTTCAATCACTAATTCTCAGTTATTATAAACATGTGTATATTCTTCCGCTCTGAAGCTTCAATCACATACATGTATAAATATTTATCTTGATCACTGATTCTCACACTTTTTCTTTTCTTTCTTCTTCACTGTTTTTATCTTTGTTATATAAGACCTATAATATTATACTGATCTATTCGGCGTAGACCTCTTATATCATGATTTTCACTTTTCAATTTAAATTATTTTTATTGCTTCAAATGACTTTAAATCTCATTTGAGTATTATCAAAAAGTGTTACTTTTTAAAAAATTAAAAATAGTCTAAAAAAACCTTAAAATGTCTAAAAATAGTAACTTTATACCAAGAATGAGACTAAATGAAATCAAATGAGACTACTTTCTCATTTTTTTCAAGTCATGATCTCATTTTAAAATCTGATATATAGTCACTTTGCATGTTTTTTTGATAGCCAGTCCCAGCAGAATTCACGTCAAGAAATGTATGAGATTAGATCAAATGAGATTAAATATGAAATTCATGATTTCAGCAGTCAGTCTACTCAGTTTAAGAGTGTTTACAGACAGTAAGCATTTCTTGTAGAAAAATAGCTTGATTTTATAAGAGATGCTTAAGAATATTCTTCACTGAGATTGATTCATTCATGAATTTGAAGAGTTTCTCTGTCACAGATATAGAGAATAATGTTTTATAAGTAATTAATAAGTTCTCTGAGACTTCTTTTATAAGAGCTATTTATAATTCAGATGACTGCTTCTGAATATCTGTAGTAGAGTTTACAGAAATTAAAGTATGTAAGTTTCTAGTTCTTTCAGTTATAATAGATAATTGCTGACTGACTGAGCTTGAAATATAAGAATAAGTGCTTAGAGACAGTTATTCAGATATTTATAGCTTGATATAATATATACTATTAACTACTAGAAGTATTCGCAGTAGAAAGATAAAATGTAGAGATTAAATATATAATAGTATTTAGACTAATTATATAACTATGTCTGAGATCAGAATTAGATTTTTTAATAGTCTTATTATTAATTCAACTGATCTCATTACACAGTTTTAACATTAGATAGTAGTCTTATACTATCTCAGTGAAACTTACTATCTACTCTTATTACATTTTTCAAATGAGATTATAATTTTCACTTCTCAATTTAAATTATTTTTATTGCTTTAAATGACTTTAAATCTCATTTGAGTGTTATTAAAAAGTGTTACTTTTTAAAAAATTAAAAATAGTCTAAAAAAACCTTAAAATGTCTAAAAATAGTAACTTTATATCAAGAATGAAACTAAATGAGACTAAATGAGATTACTTTCTCATTTTTTTCAAGTCATGGTTTTATTTTAAGATCTGATATATAGTCACTTTACATGTTTTTTTAATAGTCAGTCTTAGCGGGATTCACATCAAGAAATGTATAAAATCAGATTAAATAAGATTAAATATGAAATTTATAATCTCAGCAGTCAGTCTAATAGTATTTAAGTCAAGTTATAAATAGTATTTATAAACTTCAGTCTATATAGTTATATATAATTAAGAGTCACTAGCTCTATTAATTGTATAAGAGATAGAAATAGAGATAAAGAATCTGTAAGAAGTGAGATTTCTTACAGTATTTTAAAAATACTATAACTCTGTGATTTTAATTTTTTTTATTTTTATTTTTTATTTTTTTCTTTTCTTTTTCTTTTTTTTTTTCTTTCTCTTTTTTTTTCTTTCTCTTTTTTTTTTTTTTTCTTCTTTTTCTTTCTTTTTCTTTTTTTCTTTCTCTTCTTTTTTTCTTTCTCTTTTTTTTTTATTGTAATTTTTTCTTATTATTTTATTTTTTATTTTTTTATTATTTTTTATATTTTATATTTTTTTTAATTAAAATGATATTAATTATAATCTGTATTTAGAAAAGTAATAATATTTAATAATACTTTATATTAAATTTTCAACAAATAAGTACTATATTATAATATTATATAAGTAAGAAATGATTTCATAATCTTATTTAATACTATTTTTAATAATAAGATCAGAATGAAAATATAACTAAGAATTTAAATATATTCTTTATCTGAAACTAGATTTTTATTTAAGAAGTGAATTTAAGATTTTTAATATTTGAAATAATGTAATTTGAGATTAATATAATGAATACAAATTATAATTAAAAGTAATACTTTTAAATAATATAATAACTGTAAAGTTTAATTTCTAATCTCAGATATAGTTATATAGTTAGGTTTATATACTACTATCTGATCTCACTTAATACATCTTTTTCTTATATTTAAAACTACTTAATTATTTATCATCAATTCTACATTAATTCAAAATTAATTTAAA